TTGGCGTGTCGTCACAATCACCATTAATCGTTGTAGAAGGCTGGTAATGTTGAATGACAGAATTTCAATGTATTAATGAAAATATCTATAAAATAATATAAAAATATAGAATTTTAGCCAAAAATATGAAATATGAAATATTTTTGACACTTGAATTCTTGATTCAATAAAGTATAATAGATTAAATTAATCAATGTTTATGAATCAAAAACATGATAAATTTGTATTGAGTTTTATTAATAATAAAATATTTTCTGTTCCTTAGAAATGAACTGAATAAATTGCTTAATAATCACTTGATAATTGCTGAACAATGATATAATTTCAATCAATAAATAAATAATTCAATAAATGACAAATTTAATTTTGCATTATTGCATTATTAATTTGTTTGTCTAAATTAATGCAGCAATAGAACTACCTGCACATCTCTATTCGTACAATGCGGTTTTGTTTTTAGACATAGCATCCTAAGAGTTTTACCATAATTACTAAATTAATCTTAGTGAACTTCTTGTTAATTAATAGTCTTATATGTAATTAGCATCTTTACGAAGAGACTCATTACGAAGGGGTTTTACCGGTACAAAGACTATGCACTTATTATTCTGACACTTGCTCTTTCTCTATATAAACTTGGATAACTAACGATGCTGCTAGGAAATAACAAAAAATTTAATTACAAAGGGTGCCGCAGTAATTGGAAGCAGTTCTTAGGAAAGACAGCGGCATTCATAGCAAAAATTTTTGCCAAACGGTGGAAACTTGGTATCCTTTTTCTTATCCCTTCCAAGATTCCTCCCGTTTTCTTCTCATCTCAATTTCCCGCGCAGTCTGTCAGCTGTTACCCTCAGCACCAAACTTCCTCGCGTTAGGAATGTCCGCATCGACAAGATAGGTGCGCACAAGCGTCGACGTTGATCGCTTAAGCAGAAGCTGTTTGAACGAAGCTGTTCCGCGAAATTTCATAAAAGCGCACGAGAAGAAGCACTTCCACCGCCGGTTCGTGGCATTTGATTCAAGAGCACAGGGGCCGCGAGTGTATTAGGCGCTTTTTGCACGTGTTCTTTTCGCGCGCGCGCGCGCGCCCGCGCACTTAAGTACCGCTCGAATTTCGTTTCGAAGCGGACGCCGACGACGATGAAGAGGGCGGACTCGGCTCGGCCGTTTTATCGCGGCTCGCCGCTGAGCAAGCAGGGACTCCATCTCTCACGCAACTTCAGGATTTGATGCATGTGCCGCCGGAACATTTGTTCGATCCCCCTCGAGCTCCCTCTCGTCTCACACCCGTTCTCTCCTCTCGCTCTCGGGCGCTTCCCCTCTGGCGGAGTCCCTTTCTCACCCCGCTCCCCTCCCCCCTCCCTCTCTTTCTCTCTTCGGTGTCTTCCTTTTCCTCGAATTTCTTCCTCCTACCGTCGTCCTGCCCGTTTCCCGCGCGCACCCCGCGCCACGGTCTTCACGAGGGTATTGGACCTACCGTCTCCACGGTAGGCAGGTTTATTTTTATTCCATACGATTCATTCGATTGAACATGACTTGTGGTTACAGCCCCGGCGATATATTTCCGATATTACGGGACGACATTCCAACTCTCGTGGTCCCGCGAGTCTCTTGTATTCTTTGCCCATATCACCGGCTCGCCCCGCGCTCTCGCCGCCGACCGCGGTAAAATACGTACGATCCTCCCTAGAATAATAGTAGCTTCCGGGGAATTCATGGGTGCGCGCCCACCCGTTTTCTCATGGGTGCGGGCGAAGGGGCACGTAGCGTTGCAGCTGGTTCGATTTCAGAAATTAGCCCCCACAGTATTTCCTGCGGCTCGTGAAAACCCTTTGTCGGGGTAAGGGTCGTCCGGCAAAAGACGGATGCTGCCGCATGGTGATCCGTTAACCCACATACGGAAAAGTACACTTGAGCATAGGAGAGGAGCTCTCGTAACTTGTCTTAATTGCAGCCGTGAGTAATTGAAATCGTAGAGAAAAAGGGAGCAAATTTATTTTCGTCAAAGCGACTTGGTTATTGATTTTTAGCGTATTTATATCGAAAATTACCAACACGATCTGTGTAAAATTGATCGTTAAAGTCTCTTTTGTTAATTGCATTTAAATGTTGTGATTATTTTCAATATTAATAAATCGTACTATACATAAAATTCACCAATCAATCTATTGCGCACAAATATTTATTGATTGTTTTAAAGGGGAAGATGCGAGCAAAAATGCACTAAATATATGTATTCAATATGCAACAGGCTTATCAATTACAGATTCTGCAAATTAAAATGAATCCAACTTACTCTTTAATTGCGCATTATGTTGTATTTTCAATCTTAAATTACTCTGTAATTACCGTAATAATCTTCATTTTTCAATTTAGTCTTTAGTCTAGATTATACCATGAATTCTACAAACTGGTATATAAATAAAATCTTGATGATATACAGCAAACTATCAGGATTATTAATCTTGGTGGTCAAATAAACATAGTGCGCGCGACCACGTAAAATGTCCGACTTAACAAGTCCGTAGCAGCTGCAAAAGGCCAATTTAAAGAAGTTAAAGTCTCATTTAATATTTGTCACGACAGCAGTTTCCGTTGCTGTACAATGCGCGGCGACGCGATGTCATTATTGCTGAAACAGCGGACGCATTCGCTGGAAAATGCGGACCGTAATAATTGCGCGGCAACGTTAATTCGTTTCCCTCCTCGCGCGAATAATTTTCTACGTAAATACGCACATGCATAATAGCGCCTCTCCTCCCGCCACGGCTGCCTAATTAACACGTTACGCTGTCCTAACGCGTCGCTTCGCCCGAAATCGATATAGCGCGCGGCATTAATTATTGCTTTACGATAGTCCTTGATTAAATCACGATATCGCTGGTTACCGTCGACTTGGATGTCGTAACCAATAGTATCCACCTGGTAAACACTTTGCCGCCACGCCGGGGAAAATTCAGTTTGCCGCTCGCGCATTAACTGCATTCTATAATACTATCGCCATTGCGCCGCTAACGATATTGTCGTAATTGCGCGTGCCACGACGTAACTAGGTACTCAGTAACGATCTCAACGACATTAATACCTTTTATTGGTTTCCTTCTAAAATGTTTTTCCTAAGTATAGGTGTACTATTTGTCTTCAATTTAAATGAAGGGATGCTCGAAGGGACGCTACAGACACGAAATTCATTAAATGTTTGTTTTAGCGGAAACGAGGTTGAAAAATGAGATGATAGTGATACGAAGTTAGATGATTTCTATTTTAAGAATCAACGCAATAGTTTATAGTAAATTGTTATCTAGATTAGGAAATTTTTGTTACGAATTAAATATAAAATTTTAATCCGTATTATATGATAAAAATGGAACAAATTAAATAATTAGAATACTTAGAAAATATTTTAATTCAACGCATTTCAATGAACGTAATTCAATCGATGTCACTATATCATCCATTGTTTACTTCCATTTATGAGTGTCGCTGGGAATTCGTCGAATGCCCAGCGCAATGTCCAATTTCAGTTAATATCTATTCTGTTTATAACGCGGGTGATGGTTAATTTTCGCAGGCCTAGGGGATACTTTGATGATGACCGTTCGATCGAAAGCTCAATAATTCGTTTCAGCTAACGCCCACGTCGTAAAGGTGGCTAATTAGGTGGCGCTATGTCAGCGCTAATAAACGGATGCGTTGTTACTAACACAATATAACGTTGTTGTGAGCGAGCGACCAGATAACTAACGGCATACCTGAATTATCCCTTAATGAATAGCGATGTTGCGGGCAACCCCGATTCATTCGATTATTTGCGAGATTGGTAGTAGTTCGTGGCATCGCTACTCAAATTGGGGATTTCGGAAAGGTCTTCACGTAGCAGCCGTTAAATGGCATGACTAAAGCTCACTCTGATCCGATTTAATTCGCTGTGCGTTGGCCGCCGTTAAAGAATGATAAAGCGAACGCGGCGACTAGCCAAACGGCGATAATCGTCTTAAAAGTTCAATATATACAGTCGTTTATAAAAGGTTGATCATGTCGATTTAACATCTGTCTCATCGCTTATTAATAAACGAATTGCATGGAGTCTGTTTAGAACGTGGAAATATAATTTATGCGAGGGAGAGAGAAAGCGAGAGAATTATTCATATTTCCTCTGTTCATACGCAAAATTTAATCGGAGCATTCGTATTTCTCGGGTTCCGCTCTAATTCTAGGGCGTTTACATTGATGGAGCGCTTTTAGAACAACTGATGCATGGATTTAAAATGTCTCTGAACCTGATTCGAAAAGGAATCGTATTTTCACTTCATTTTTACCATTTTTACCATTTGAAAACAGAATTGCTTCAATAAAATTGATAGATTCTTGATCTGCTATTACAAAGGTTGAAAATAATTCGTACATAGTTCTTGTGTAACCATTTTAACAAAATCATATTATCATTTCCTATCGGAAAAAAATCGTACTTTTTTTCATTCCAATTTACATCCATTTTTCCCTAGTTTTTTTTTCGTAATCCGTGCAGTTTCTTCTAAATAAAGCAAAACATTTGTTAACATTAATTAAAAGTTATTTCTGATATTATGATTTAAATTTTTTTACCACGTCAAAAATAATATCTGCTGATTTTACATTCGACAACTGGGATGTGAAATAATCAAAAATTAAATTTTTATTTGCATATGATTATCTGCTCTTGATCAGTTACATTGTAGAATTTTGATTCAACAAACAATACGGTTTTAAAATATATTAGTAAAATCAGTCAATTCCAATTGTGAAGAGATAATTCTTGTATTTGATATATATACCAAATTGAACGAGAGGTTGAAATAAATAAACAAATGGAGATCAATGAATAATTATCGTGCGCGATAATCGAGAAACATTTGCTTCTATCAGGAGGTAGCCTGTTATGCATTAAATTGTCATATAATATTCCATTATTGCTTTGAGTCTGCCTTTTAATAGTTTATTTTATTTTATCGTTATTTCAGAACAAGGACAAAATACAAGCAAGAAAAAGACGACGTTTTCGAGGTTGCTGCGGGGATTGAAGACCCACAGAAAAGAGAAACAAGGCCAACAGACTCAAGGCTCTCCCAGGCATGGTCGCGCAAGGATGGGTGTTCCTCAAAGAGTAAGTTATTACAATATCAAAAATTATGCACGAAGAGATAACGAAGATATTTCGTTCAATCATTGAATGTAATAAATTCTAATATAATATTCTGAGTTTAAATTATACATTTTTTGTATTACATCGTGAATTATAATTATAACTGATTTATTTGGTAAATTTTTTCAATTTCTTTAAAGTTTTTTTAAAGAGTAGAAATTTAATCTACGATCTAACATTTTATCGGCGATAGTGTTCGGAGAGCAGGATTTCCAAAATTTCCCGGAATTCTCTCTCTTTTTTTTTACTGTCAACGCATTTGTCATACGGATATACGTACTTCAGTGTGCGACAAACGAAGTAAAATTGCATTTCGTTTTTCGTTCCGTCCGTTTTGATCATCGCGCACTATTTCATAGGATATCGCGTAAAGAACGTTTTCATAGGCGAGCTCGCAATGAAAGCGCTGTTTAATTCCGCCTCGCGGATTATATTCTCACGAACCGTAAACGCGTCAGCGTAAATCTATACCGCGTAATTGCGCGACTGTAGGATATCGTGTGTGAAACTCCTAC